ATGTCAGTGCAAGGAGGCGGCAAGAAAAGCTACCAAAGACGTATTGCGGTGCACGTCTCTTCCTTAAAGATGATGAGATAGAATCAAATTGTGCTGAACGCATGGAGAAGATATGTGAGTTTTGCTCAGCTAAACTTTATCCAGGCGAGGCAGCTGATAATACTGCATCCATCTGTTGCCATAAGAGCAAGGTGAGTTTACCACCAATTTCTATCCGCGATGAGCTGAAAGAACTTATTGAGCGCAATGATGACATCACAAAAAACTATTTGGAGAATATCCGTAAATTTAACAACGGTCTTGCGTTTGCTTCAGTGCAGGTGAACTTTGTCAATATTCCGGGTAGAGGACCATTTTATTTTAAACTAGATTAAGATGATTCTCAGATATTATTGTTTTTTTAACGAAACATTTAATCACAAAATAAATTCTGAATATATTTTCTCCTCCAATATTGTATACAATGTAAGCGACACCATGTTTCCCTCAACTCATGACACTCATATACATATATGTAATACTCCTATATTGGCAGTAAGAGCTAGTACCGTCCGAAAACATTACAGTACAGATATATCAATAAACACGTACGATAGAAAAGGAACACATACGTTTATAAATAAACATGTACACAACACATATACAAAAACGGCACTCAAGTACACAATACATTGACAAAAACGGTACTAGACTGTCTCGCTTTGATTTCGGAATGCTTACACATTGAGATGTTAGCTTACTACCAATATAGAAATATTACATATATGCTCATATATCAGCCAGTTTGTAATATGTTTTTATGTATGTACCTAATAAGTATAAGTTCTGATGTACTATAAATCTCATTAATGCTTATATATATATAATATGTGTATAATAAAAATAAGGGGTTTATAAGAATAATTATTTCCGCGAACTATAAGAACAGTCTGCTTCTATCTGTGGCTACAAAGAGGGATGAGTTTACTGTGTATTTCTGTCTGCGCAGACTGCGCATGGGCCCGCTTATACATATGTACATATTTAGATTTGATCTAACCCTGGTATTTGTGTATTAAGGAGTTATTAGAATCCTGATAGGAGCTTTAAAACTATTAAATTCGAGTATACACAACTCTGGAATACTTTATTTGGAACTTTGACTTTTATTTTTGCCTGCAACAAATCAAACTGGTTCAGAACTTGCGCTGAGCTACCTTGAAAAGGGACGGTACTGGTTCTTCGTCTACCCCAACTCAATGCTTTCAACTGTCGTTTTTAAAATGGCGATTGTCTACGACGTGACAATTGTCACCATCTGCAGAACTTTTGAACTTGTTCTGAGCTGACTCTGACTTAGATGGTTCTGAGACAGTTCATATAACAACAGTTCCTAGATGGTTCAAAAAGGTCATGTCCGAGCTAGAAAAAATGGGGTTAGGTTTGAGCTGGTTCTAAGAAATATAGTATAGGGCCTTTTCTTTAAATAAGCGCATACAATTTGGTAAATAAAATATACTTCATTTTATGTTTAAATAACTATTTGTTTTGCACTAATTTACTGTTTAGAGGACTGCATGAATGCATTCAAAACGGCTTTTGAATTATTAATATAAAAAACGAATGAATGATTGTGGCTTCACATTTTTTGAATTTAAGTGAATAGCTGTTCTGATATTTGTGTCGGCATCACAATATCCAAACAAAGTGAAAATAAATTGAATTGAAATAAATGACAGTTTTTTGTATGAATATCCAAAAATATTTTTTCTGTGCACATATGTACAAACATAAATATGTATGTATGTTTTGCTGCGCTCCTATTACATACGAAAAAACTTGTTTGTAGAAAAAAAACTTTGNTTGTATGAATATCCAAAAATATTTTTTCTGTGCACATATGTACAAACATAAATATGTATGTATGTTTTGCTGCGCTCCTATTACATACGAAAAAACTTGTTTGTAGAAAAAAAACTTTGACCGAAATGAGTTTGAATGATTTGAATGTTTTCCATTCATTCATTCACATTCTTCGATTTGAAGGTAGAAAATATAAAACAACATGTATATTCATAACTTACAAAATTCCAAACGCTGAGTGTTTTGTATGTGAAATAAAATATTCAAATCTACTGTACTCTGTTTGGCTATTGAATGAATGAATTCATGCAACCCTCTGATACTGTTTGAGGTAAATTGTGCTTTAAAATTAGGAACATAAAGTGTCAGTTATTTCTTCATTTTCTAAAACCGTTATTCTTAAAAATAGTTTATATTAGTTACGTATAACGTGTATTTCCGTGTTACTTATAATTAAAAATCTAAACTAAGTCGTGTGAAAAATGAGTAAAAACTCAGCGCTAAATTGTATTACATGTATTGAAAGATAATACAAAAACTCCCGGCATCGAATTAAGGATATATATAATTTTAAATATTCACAATCGTTTTCATGCTAAATATTTTTCGTAATTTTTTTATTTAAGGATGGCTTATAAGTATTATAACATAAACATATAAATTCACGTTTCTAAATGTGTTGGAACTTTTATAGAATTCTATAATATTTTAATCTTAATATATATATATCTTATAATATTTTAAGTCAGAGTTTATAAGTATGCAGTTCTATAGCCCCTTATATTTTAGTATAATTAATCGCGCTGATTTTTTATAACTCTTTTTACCCTATTTAAATATTTTCGCTTAAATTACACTAAAATTTAATGGGCTACAAAACAGAATACTTGAAATATTTATAAAAACATCTCTGATTAAAAAGTTTGAAATTTGAAGACAGTTTTTAGAGTTCTATCAAGTTTGCATTACAGTTAGGAATTTGAGTTCAAATGTTTTATGGAATATGGGAAATAGTACTTAAATGAAAATGAAAGATATTTAAAATTAAAAATATTGGAAATCAAAAAAAAATCACTGGATAACTACACATTTCGGGTGCTCAGTAATATATTTAGGTATGTACAGTATCAGTCATATCAATAGCACTGTTTAGGCGCGACTACTAACACCAAGCGCCTAAATGCATTCTATGTACCGCTGCAGGAGCAAAAATTTCCTTCATTAAATTAATGAAATTTATGCACTTGCACTTTTTAACTGCCATGTAATAAAACTTTCTTATGTTATAATTTGATGGCAGTAATTGAACTGCTCGGCCTAGTCTGATGCATCCTCCTTACACTGCTTCCGGAGCATTTTGCGGACTCTGCATGGCTTACAACCATGCAGAGGTGTAAACGAACTTTACCATTGGCCACAGTGCCTACCCACCATTTTTGAGCCAATAAATATTTTGTTTTATAAATACATCCATGCAAACATACTGGTTTCCCCTCTCACTGAGTTATTCAGCACCCTCATTTCAAAGTGAGATTGTTTACCACTTTCGGCTATTTTTTTTAAATCTAATTAAAAGGTAAACAATTTAGATGAAAACCCTTAAAATTTAACTTGGTTTTGTATAAAGTTTTAAAACACGGTTTATATGATTTTGTTTTAAGCATGATCATTTTCTTTATAAAATAATAACAAACAAATTTTATCTCTCAATATATTGTGAATATTTAAAAAAGAAATGGTGTACGCAGACTTTTGCTGTTAAGTGTAGCTTAACTTAATTTTATGGTTATATTTTATGCGCACATATGTGTAAAAATTACATTCATGTTACCAATAACGAATTTTTGGAAATATTTTAGCAGTTGCCCCGTAAGCTGTGTAGAGAATTACATATTAAATAAACGAAAACAGTTTTTTATTAGTTTCAGGGTCTAGGAAAATCGAAAAAATATAGTATAGTAAATTTTTGCATCTTTTGTCAGCTTTCACATGACCAGGATGAGTAACATTGATAACAGCGCAACTAGCAACATATGAGTTTCAACCGTCCAGCTCTGCATCCCTTTTGCAGTAGTTCAGAGACAGTTCTGAAATTTGTAGGGCGGAACTAGCGCTTTGCCAGACTGTCTCTAAATTTTGCTGCAGGGAATCCATTGCACCGCATTTCCTCTTACTATGCATATGCCTGAATGTATGCAACCATTACAATAGTAAGTAAACACAGGGTGCTTCTAATGAAATTATAAATTTTCTGCTGAAATACTTCGAAATTTTCTGCTGGGCTATGCGTTACAGCTTCGCAAATTTTACCCCTACCGAAACCAAAGATGTATACACATCAAAAAATTTCACTAAAAATATTGTTATATTAGAAAATAGCGCGGCAGATACAAATGTTATAGTAATAGTAATATGCTATTATAAAAAGGAAAAAGCGTGATTTTCAAGGTGTTTTTATCTAATAAATTGTGATTAATTGGTTGAAGTTAAAGGAATAAAAAAAAGTTATAATGAATAGAGCAAAGTGTAAAGTGAATCCGAATATAAAAACGTATTGATGAAGTGGCTGCTTTAAAGAGAATAGGAGTGATTATTGTATGCTAATTTCTGAACTTTACAAAAAAGGCATAATTCAAACAAAATTTCTAAATAAATTACTGGTCGAAAATTACAAAAGTAGGTGTTAAAATAATGTGTAGACCCATGATTTTTTATTTTGGTTCGGGTCACCCCTTTGGACGGAATAGCCCGAAATAGTTGGGTCTCTTACTAAGTCGTACCCACATGGGCGTCCCCTACGTAGCGAAAGCGTAGGGGCTCGAAAATAAATAAATTTAAACATTTTCTTAAATTCTTCCCAGCGTATCTATTAAAATGTCATTTTCAAAAATTTCATGCATTGCTATGCCATGTCACTCCATCTCAAACACACTGTTGCAGCATGTCATTGCTTCTTAGCTCAGCTGTTGTTTGCTATAGGTACGTGCGCTTAAAATCTCCAGTAAAAAATGTCCAACAGCGATATATCGTCTGTTCTCTCACTAGAGAAAAATATCCAAAATAGTACGCGAACAGAAAATTTGCAGAAACTTGCAAGTTAGATGAACAGCTAGAAACGAACAGATAGAAAGTTGTTAGTTTTGTGACCGGAAAATTTGATTACCAAAAAATTTTACCACTTCTTGTCACCGCGATTCTAGGTACGTTGGTAATGCAGTGCAAATATTCAGCAACTCAGCTATGATTTGTGGAATTTCCTGTATTAAATATTTCACGGGGCAATATTTTGTTACCAGCTTATGAGATGGTAACCAAATTTACCGGTTACAAGAGAGCACAGAATGCGAAAAAGGTTTAAAAATTTACAGACACTTTAATTACCGGTTATAAAATGTATGTTACCAGCGCAGAATAGACCTGTAAAAAGTATAAAGTTGAAAACGTAAGAAAACAAATCCTGAATTCTTATCCTGGCACAGTTCACTGACTAAACGAATAATTNTATATGTGTAATTTGTATGAAATATGTAATTTAAAAAGTAAAAAGAGCAAAAATGTTCTAAGCAAGGAGAAAGTAAAAAGAGCCGCACTTTGCTAAGCAGAGAGCCGCATTTGGATCAAAGAGCCACGTTTGCCCACCGTTGGTATATAGATTTTTAATTATATAATTGTTTAATAAATTTTACTATAGTAGGAGCTTTCAAAATTCGGAAAATCTCTTCCCATATATACAATGTAAATAATAATGCTGAATATGTCGCATGTGTTCCTTTTGTTGGCATGCGTGAATTCGATGCATGATTTGATTTGAATTTATTCGGCAATGCCTTCATATATCACTTTTAAACATGTATAAGCGACATGATATAAACTGGCACTTGCACGATGTGTTACATGTCGCTATGTTTTGTAGTTCAGGCCTTTAGTATCTATATACAGTTGCTCATCATACGACTTAGTTAGGCCGATCTGTAGCAGCCACAAAATTGAGCTATATATCAAACTAAAGTGCAAGCTGCAATTGCAGTTGAATGTGTTTGTCAAAAAAGTAAAAAGCGGCAGAAAAGTCGATAGTGAGCAATATAATCTATTGAAAGATAATAACCATATTTCGGAAAAGTTATTAGGTATTATTCATAGTTTTGAAATATATTTCACGAAAGCAAAAAATAAAAATAGCTGAGATCCCTCTTTTTTTTAAACACCTAGGATATCACTGACCATTAAAAAGGACCCTGAATGACCGAAAACCTCAAAGCATTACACATTTTTGTATGTGTTTTTTTAAATGAACGATCAAAAATTAGCCGGTATACATATTTAAAATTTTTTAGAAACAGTGGTTGAATTTTTGTACTGAAAGGGTTAACCCTAAAGGTATAATCTACGTCTGCGAGGCGTATACGGAATGGGTTTTTTTAATTTTAACACAAAATTTAGTTTTTATTTTCTTGTTTTAAATAAATTCAGTTGTAGTTTTTATTAATAAAACTATGTTTTATTATTAGTCAAACTCACAACTTCAATATTCTTTAAAAAAATAAGACAGGACTAAGTATATTTTAGCTCACAGCTAAATTTATCCAGGCGATGCAACTGATAATACTGCATCCATCGGTTGCCACAAGAACAAGGTGAGTTTACCACCAATTTCTGTCCGCGATGAGCTGAAAGAACTTATTGAGCGCAATGATGACATCACAAAAACCTATTTGGAAAATATCCGTAAATTCAACAAAGGTCTTGCGTTTGCTTCAGTGCAGGTGAACTTTGTCCATATTCCGGGTAGAGGACCATTTTGTTTTAAACTAGAATAAGACGATGCTCAGATATTATTGTTTCTATTAAAGAAACATTTAATCAAAAAGTAAATTCTGAATATATTTTCTCCTCCAATATTGTATACAAAGTAAGTGACACCATGTTTCCCTCAAGTCATGACACTCATATATCAGTCAGTTTGTAATATGTTTCAGGGTTGTTGCGAATATTCGCATTCGCATTCGCAACCGCGAAGCTTCCGCATTAATTTTAACATTCGCATTCGCAAAAATCAATGCGGATCTTTTGCCGAAAATTACAGTTATTTTTTTTTTACGAGTTAAACTTGGCCAAATATTTTTTATTCCGAAATAAAAGTACTTTCCGGATAATAAAGGAACCGGTTATCCAAATAAAACAAGTTTGGTATCCAATGGAAGAGGACTTAAATAGCTTTACAACTGAAATGTCTAAAAGAGGAAAGCCACACATTGAAAAATCTTTCAATAAAAAGTGTTAATTAATTACCATAGAACAAACATTGGGTCAGGTATGTATTTACATCAATTTCTTTAGTATTAAGTTATAAAAAAATATAAATAGATGTATATGATACGAAATTTGTTTAACTTGGATAAGCGGTTTCTTTATTATCCGAAAAGGACGTTTATTTCGGAATAAAAAATATTATGCCTAATATAACTCGGAAAAAAATAACTTTTATTTTCGGTCCCTGGAATATTGTGCAAGTGCACAGACGTATATGTAACCAGTCACAGAAGAAAGCATTAAAAATGAGTTACAAAAACTAAACTCGAAAAACGCTGATGACGTGACAAATTCAGAAACAACCAAAAGAATGAGAATGAAGAATTCTTTGGAAAAAAAAGGTGTTTAAACAACGATCTTGCCATGATACTAGATGGTGAAGATGAAAGTCAGGAGGATACATGCGACATTTGCAGCCCGATGCAATTCTCAAAAAAGAATTATTGCATCCGCAATAAAAAAAAAACAATAAATATAACTAAAAGTCCTCTCGACTCATGCAGCGCCAATCGAAAGAATTTACAATTTGGTCAAGTTTCAAGTTTGTCGCATCGAGCGAGCAGTTATTTAGTGGCCCTGATTTACGACCCTTTAACAACCTTTTATTGGAAACAATGTTCCAATTTTTAAATTCAAGTACTACAAAAAAAACATTATTAAAAATGACTAACCTTTGCATTTTTTATTTAACTAAATCACCTAATTTACTCACCTAAATTATTTCTTAACAAGTAAAAAAGTCTAGGTTCGGGCGAAGCCGAACATTAAATACCCGGCGAAAGTATTCAATCTAGTTTTTCACCTTTCCGAAAACTACCGCTACATGGTAATCAGGGGTGGGGTTACTCCTATTTTAAACATCTTCGATAGAACGTTTAGTTAGATATAATGAGATAAACTTATATAGATACATATATGTGAGCGGCATCACGCCCATTTTCCAAAATTCAATAATAATGTTACTACTTTTCAAGGGATTTTTTGGGTAAAATTAGCGTCCTTAAATTTCGAAATATTGAAGTTTCAAGCATTTCTGAAATTTACCGTTATGAAAAAGTGGGCGTAATTTTAGTCCGCTTTCGATAACTTTCAACGTTTAGCCTTAATGTGGCAATCACAATAATCGTCCCGAGATGGTACACTTTGATCGAACGGTTACCGAGATACACATATGTGATCATAAGTGGGCGGGGTCACGCCCATTTTCCAACATTTTATTATGAGCGTATTTTTTGCTAAAGAATTATTGCAAATATCAATCTTGAATAAATTAACTCCAGTATTTACTGTTTTTTTTTTTTTATTTATGATATGTGGGCATGGTTATTATCCGATTTTTTTAAATTTTCAGCCGTTTGGTATGTTTTGTGAAGGCCAACAACTGTGTCTGTGTTTGGCAGAAATTGGCGGAGCGGTTCCCAAGGTATACAAATGTAATCATAAGTGGGCGTGGCTACGCCCATTTTCCAAAAACTTATAATATTCTTATTTTTCGTCTAAAAATTATTGCAAATATCAATTTTGAGCGAAGTATCTTCAATAGTTACTAAAATATCGCAGTCTTCGTGTTTACGAAAAATAACCATTATATGGGAGGTAGGCGTGGTTATTGTCCGATTTTGCCCATTTTCAATACCATCNAACAACTGTGCCAAGTTTGGAAGAAATTGGTGCAGCGGTTACCAAGATATACACATGTAACCATAAGTGGGCGTGGCTACGCCCATTTTCCAAAAATTTATAATATTCTTATTTTTCGTCTAAAAATTATTGCAAATATCAATTTTGAGCGAAGTATCTTCAATAGTTACTAAAATATCGCAGTCTTCGTGTTTACGAAAAATAACCATTATATGGGAGGTAGGCGTGGTTATTGTCCGATTTTG